TGTTAATTTTTTAAAGAATATTGTCAAGTACAAGGGACGCTTTCTAAGTGCTTTTGAGATTCTAATGGATGTTTTCTTGTCGCATTTTTACATTAAACTATGTTCAGTTATTTCTTTGTATTTTATATGTGTAACTTTTAATGCCTCCGTGGCCCAATGGATAAGGCACCGGCCTCCTAAGCCGGGGATTGCGGGTTCGAGTCCCGCCGGAGGTTTGCCATTAGTTTCTTTTTTAAATCTTTAACAAGATTCCCGAGGTTACCAACAAACACTCGCACAATTACAGGTAGTTAATACATGCAAATGATTGTGGACTATTAGTTATTTAGCATACAAAAACAAAAGTAATAGGGAGGTAAAAAAAAAAATGCTTGCCCCGGGTGAGGATCGAACTTACGACCTTCAGATGGCCCTTATCTGATTATGAGACTGGCGCGCTTTTTTTCTCTCTTTTTTGAGACTGACGCGCTACCTACTGCGCTACCGAGGCATATGAAACCAATTAAAACACTCTTTGAACATAACGTTAAATCTGATTCTATCCCAATCAAAAAAAAAAAACTTTCAAAATATCCTAGAAATACAAAAATCAGTCATACACTTTTGTGTATTTCTTTAACTCTTTTCAATTAGAAAAATAATACACGACCTATGTTATGTGAAACTTTATTAAAGATCAAGCTAAAATTAAATCCTTTAGATTCACCTTGACAGAACAGATTGTCCAATTCAGATGTTATGAGCACGTTTTCTGACAACTCTCTCGTTGTAATATCATTGAAAACAAAGTGACTGAACAAGCGTGAATGGTTGCACTTAATTCTAAATAATGATTTGGAAATATATTGTTTCTTTCATTGCAATCCCCATATGATACTGCAAAGTAATTCTTTTGTTCTTTGATTAGTAAGTGTAATTCATTTTAAAAAGAATTGTACATTACATTGTAAAGTGCAAATACCCCAAAGTATTGTTTACTCACATGCAATATTTTATCTAACAATGTTTTAATCATACAGACAAACGACCCGCAACTTTCAGTTCAAAGTGCCGAGCGCTTGGCGAAGGACGAGTTCCTACCTATTTTTACCTTTCTCTTCTTCTTCCCGTTTAGTGCAAACCACCTTTAAGTATTATCGCACTCTGCTTGAGGGGGTGAGTGTCTATGTAAAGTGTACATTAAAACTTAAAATTAAAAGATTAAAAACGCAGATGTGATTACTAGTGGCTGGCATTGGACAGCTGGGTCTTAAAGCTTTTCAGGTTTTTGGCCTCCGCTGCTCCTCCTTGTAATGAGTTCCACAGCCGGATGGCTTAGGGGAAGAAGGAGGTCTTGTACTTCCGTTCTGGTGTGTGGTACTAAGAATATCAGGGTATGGCTATTTGTTCTCAACGATACTGGATGTAGATAGCTCTCTGCCGGGATGTCCACAATTAAGATAGCAGACTATCCTGTATAGCATGACTTGGACCCTTTACCGACGGATCTGGAGTGACTGCCATTGGAGTTGCTGTAGCATGGATGTTACGCTGCTTGTGCGTTGGTAATCTCCAATGGCGAATCTAGCTGCCCTACGCTGTACCGTCTCAATCTTCTTGATACTCTCCTTCTTGGCTGGGCTCCACATAATGGGGGCATATTCGATGGTAGGTCGTACCAGTGTGGAGTAGCACTGTGCCTTGATGTTAGTTGGACATCGGCTGATGTTTCATCTTAGGAAGGTCAGGGTGGAGTTGGCCTTCTTAGTGATCTTGTCTATGTGCGTATCCAAGCTGAGGCTCTTGTGGATTGTAAGACCAGAGTCGAAGGTGTTCAGGACCTGTTGGTGGATGGTATTTGGCACGTAGTGGAAACTAGTTGGTAACCCGTAGGACTTCACACTTATCCAGGTTAAACTGCATAAGCCATTTTACCTCCCACTCCTGAAGCTTGTTAAGGTCGCTCTGCAAGATTGCCTGGTCTTCTGGTGTCTTAATCCCCCTGTACGTCAGTCATCAGCAAAGATTCGAGTGGTGAATGACACTGATGATGGCAGGTCATTGATGAAGATCAAGAAGAGCAATGGGCCTAATACAGTTCCCTGGGGGACTCCTGATGAGACAATGGTGGCTGATGATGATTGACCATCGAGTACAACACGCTGGTTGCATCCAGTAGGGAAGCTCGAGATCCAATCGTGGATTTGACCTCTAATACCATAGTGATGTAGTTTCATCAGTAGTCCGTTGTGTGGGACCTTGTCAAAGGCCATAGAGAAGTCTAGGAGTATACAGTCATTTGCTCTCCGGTATCTATAGGCTCTATGCTAGGTCGTTGACTGACGGGATGAGTTGTGTTTCAGTAGACTGACGTTAACGTTTCCTGAGACCATGCTGGCTATCAGTCCAGAGTCCATGGCTGTCTAAGCGACTGGATATTGGAAGTGGGCTAGGTCCCATATATGGAAGTGGTTCACTGGGATTCTCAGCAGTGAATACAGATGTAAATTGTTGATTAAGGATATCTGCCTTCACCCTGGCATCGCTGTATGCTATCCCATCGCGTTTTAGTGGTGCTACTCCGCAAGCATCTGTTTGTTTACTTTTGATGAAGCTCCATAGGCACTTTGGTTTATGGTCCTCATCCATGATGGTATTATTTACATACTCATGATATCTTAGTTTGCACAGAACATGAACAGCATTTTTAAGGTACTTATACCGTGAGTAGTCCTGAGTAGATGGTCTCCACGTATATTGCCTATAAGCACGCCTACACTAAAAAGGCATGCGGCAGTGATTCGAATACACAACCTTCCCATCACGGAATTTCAAAATTTTCGCCAGACCAAAAGGGAGAAAATAATAATATAAATCATATATAGATAATAAAGGGTGATTATAGGGTTCAGCTTACTTTTTGTCCAGAAAAAAATCACCTTCTCCAAAATGTGACACCTGTCTTCCTTATATTGACAATTTAGTGTGACAAAAATTGTGGGTTTATGGAGCTTGGTAAATTAGCGTACTTCTAATTGGATAAAATTGTGGGTTTATTTTGGTGTTTCTGAAGGTTCGTCTCTCTTTTCATTTGTAATAAAAATTTTGCTTTCACACTTGTGATTTTCAAAAAAGAAATTTTAATTAATATTCAAACAGTTTCAAAATACCTTGCAGTGCAAAAGTTGTCAGAAGTGACCTTTCAACTTAACAATTTTATACATTGTAATGGGTTTAAAGTATATTAATTTTCTCATTTAGAGTTATATCTCTTATCAGATGGTCGATGAACCTTAATCTGGTCTGTCAACTTAATGTTTGGAATTGTGGTTTGTCAACCTCTCATTGGATTCCGAAACCACGAAACATTGTCGAAGATACATTGACTCAAACCATTTAGTAAAGTCCATCGAACTGAATCATTAGTTGTCGTTTATAAAAAAAATAAAATGCTTTAATTTTAGGTCCAAACAAGATGCAACATTTTAATCAAATATCTTTCAACAATGTACCATGCTCAGCTCGAAACACCATATGGCCAATCATTTTCCATCCATCATATGTACATGTATTACCCAACCTTTGAAACTTACAATTCCATTTGTGTAAAACCACCCCCGTAGTTTCGAACCTGACCTCCGAAACGTACAATTTACACCGTAGCCTACAATGTACCTTTTTCAATATGTATGCAAATGCTCACCTTTTAAAAACTTTTTCATTCATTTTCATAACATCCAGAAACCTGACCGCACATTGATTTTGATTTTGACCAATATATTTGCTGCGAAAGGGGGGGGGTCCTCTTTACAAATATATATTTTGACGAATTCAGGCCAGGCTGGAATATACACGCTTCAAGTCTGTGCTCCCCCCCCAAAAAAAAAAATAACTAAAATACCAGAAATAAATTTTCCATTTTTAAGTCATTTACATACTTTTAATATTATTAATTTGAAGAAGCGACTGCGAAATATTTTTATTAATAAGAATGAAGGGTAAATAAGTATACAATCCTAAATTATTCTTCTCCAAATCAGTAATGTATATTTGAAAAATATAAATCAGTCTCTGTTAACTTTGATTAAACAAATAAATAAATGGATAAAAAAAAATAGATGAATTAATAAATAAAATAAATAAATATGCTAAGTGCAATACCAATTTCCCTGCTTCGCTGGTGCGTTTCCCACCTTTTTCTTTCGTTCTAAAACTCTCCTCACTTGTAAACTCCCCTATTCGGTTCCATGTCTGTTACATAAGTTACATGGAATATGCTGTTGATAGTAATACAACAAATACACTTGTTATGTTTATTGCATTGAATTATATTCAGTGGATAAATATCATAAATTAAGATTTTTAGTATCACACGGTCATGAATTGTCATCATTTGAAAGAATAATTATCAATATTTTTAAAATATTAAAATATTTATTAGAATATTTTTCAAACACGCACTTAAACTTTCGTAAAGAAAATAAAATTATACATTTTCTATTTTTATGCACCAATCAATAAATAAATAAAAATCAACTAAAAACTACAAAACATGGCCTGCTCTAGCAATCCCAACGGGGAAAAAGTGTCTATTATTAGGAAAGTAACACAATGATGTGATGGGACAATAATTAATTTATTTTTCGAGGAAATCACTTGTTTAAATGTTTTAATAATGAGTGAACAGAGACTTAATATTTCATGTGTACGTTCCAAGCTTAAATTCTCGAAACGAGTATTTCCAGTCATTTATTAAAATCATTTAATAGAATTCATCTCTCTCTCTCTCTCTCTCTCTCTCTCTTGAACGGCTACTAAATAATGCATGATACATAATGAAAGTACATATACAATATTATTTCGCAGTAAAAAGTCTTTGCATTTGATATACATGTAAGAAGCGACAATATTACTTTTTATTCTTTATTTCGAAATGTACTCATGAGTAACACGTCACGAGAACTGTTCTATATTTAGCCAAAAGGCGCCTCCTTTATGACGTATTAGGAGAGGTTTACCTATAGATTGGTCAGGTGAACTGCATTTTCATCACATCAAAACAAACCTTCAGCATGGGTTGTGGGTCAACAGTTGGAAAAGTTTTTCTTGTCACAGTGAATACTTTATTCACGGTAAGTTGACCAACGATTTTGTACACAGCAAAAATGTTTCAAATAGCTACTTACATTTATACATATTGATACAGGTGAAAAGTGTTAAGATTTTAATCTATATGGCAGGGCGCCATCTTTTAACAAACATCAGGAGCAATTTTGTTATTTGTCAATTCGATTTTCACTACTTTGATACCAAAATGAACTTCAATCATTGAAATTTATACCCTACAGAATTTTTTTTAAAAATGTTCTTAATATTATCTTTGAGAGAGAGAGAGAGAATGTTGGCCGTAATATGTTATACGTATTTACTCCGATATTTTAAAACCTGTTCTCGAGCTAGGGATCGCCAAACATGCGGATCGCGGCGTAAATTGCTGCCAAATATTTTATTCTATTGTGTGTGACTTTTGATCCATTTTTGGTTTTCAGTCTGGTATATATTAAAGGAAATGAGAACACATTCGATTCAGGACAATATAATGTTCTCACAATTTTATTTTTACCACATATAAAATAAACCTCTTATCTCAACCCCAGGCAGATTTTAAGAACATAACTAGGGCGTTGTAGATTTTAGATTTTGTACTTTTTTGTCCTAATCCTGTAAACTGCAATAAGATTTTCACCGCTGATGAAAACAATGTACTTGTGACATTCCCCGGGGGCCAAGCATCTCATATTATTTCACACATTGTGCACACCAACACAAATTAAGCCAGGCTTGTCATATTTTATCGGTCAGCGTTTGTCATACGGAAAAAATCTTATCGAAAATACAACAGAAATACTTATAACATTTGAAAAAAGACGTCTTTGCAAGCATTTACAAATAAATGTATCTAAAATCTATCACAGAAAAGAAATGACTGTGCATTGTACTGAATATTTCATAAACGACAGATGTGACCACCATGTGCACATATGACATTGTTGCTGAGTTTTATAATATAAATCTTAACGACCAGTGATGGATCTGGCATGCAGGAAATTTTACTCAAGAACAATTAGTAACCATATCTATACCACTGCTAAAATTTGTTTACACAGTCCTTCCATCGATTATATACATCACATGCAAACTCTCACATGGCTAAACATAGTAATTGTTTTTGTCACATAAGTTTTAAATATCCATCGATTTATTCATTTTTGTAGAAAATTGATTAAAAATTGCACTTTGCAAGATTAAAAAAAAATACCCGTCTGACTTTAAAATGCGCACCAAAACTTTCCTAGAACTACGTATATACGTAATGACAAAGCTCTTTTGAAATATGTATGGGAGTTGATGATTCACAAGTTTGTTTTTTTTTCATCTTAAATTCCGTGTGACAACACCCTGATAAACTGAAACTTCAATCCGCCCACATCAAGATACCCCAAATATTGTCCTTTTCCCTAAACATTAGTAAACACGAACTGCTTAACATCTGTGACACGTAAAGTAAAGATCAGTGAAATAGTCTTTACAAAAGTAGGTCACAAGTGGTACAAAATAAGAAAAATATTATTTGAAAAATCCGGAGCAGTTGTCCATTAATTTCTGACATACATGTACATGATAAATTGATATGTAGTATTACGTACAGCTTTTCAAAATGTGTAATTTTAAGAGGGTACATGCACCTTGAATAGAAGACGGATAATAGAATCTGCTGTGTAATACATGTATGAGGCCCATTTAAACGTAGTTAAAAAATTAAAGTTTGTATCGATTATCGGGAAAATTTATTCACTGAAAGGGAATAATATAAATAAATAATGAAAGTACTGCATTTTAATTACGGCATTAGCCAGAAGTGCTGCACAAAGCAAACCCTGTACACTGGAAAGCTACACCATATGATGTTGAAATGTCTTCCATCCCACGGATTTTTCTAGTGTTTACATCTGTATAGACATTTCGAAATTTCATTCACCTGATAACAAAGCCCTGTTTATTCATCACATCGATTTCAGGAAGTTCGTGAACAACTCTGGATAACATTGTTTATCATCCTTTTAAGGAGATTAGCTCTCTCTCTCTCTCTCTCTTTCGCTCTCTCTTTTTAAGGAGATTAGCTCTATCTCTCTCTCTCGTAAGAGATTAGCTCTCCCTCTCTCTCTCAAGGAGATCAGCTCTCCTTTTAAGGCGTCTCTCTTCTCTCTCTCTCTCTCTCTCTCTCTCTCTCTCTCTCTCTCTCTCTCTCGCCACACAGGTGTCCAATATTTTTTATCATCATTGTTTCTTCAGTCCATTCTATGTACAACAATATAGCATTCAACCGCATGTACCAGGAGACGCCGAAAACACGTGCGTCCAAAACATGCATTATATGAGGATGACAATTTATTACGATCAAACCAAAGGATAGACTATTTACTATAATTGAAAATCGTTTTATTCAGTTTTGCATGTAGTTATACATATCAAGATCGTTTTTTCTTCACCGGGGGGGGGGGGGGGTATTAAAATATTTAAAATTTTCTAGAAAATTATTGTTTTAGAAAATTATGCAACGATCTCTGCGCAGCTTCTTTGGTGATCTTTATGGGATAGTAAATTGTTTATCTGGGAATTTTTGGAGTACCTCGTTGAATGTTCTGCACAAGAAGTTTTGATCATATCGATTTGGACTATGATATTCTGTCATTGAAATCAAAATTTTACCATTAAAAAAGATAAATAAATATTTTTTTAAAAATTAAAAAGAAACAATTTAACATGCTAAACCAGACATTTTATATGAAATCTAAAGTAATTCAGATCTCTGAATGGCACAGATTATTGTACAATAAAGATAGAATTTTAGCAGTGTAAATGGCTAAATGCCTTCACTACTAACAATCTCAATCTCTCTCTCTCTCTCTCTCTCTCTCATTTAATTTTTACAGGTTGGACAACATTCCATTTTATTTAGTCATGTACGCCCCGCCCATTCTAGTGAAATCAAACGTCACAATCGAATATGTTTATACATAGCATCGATGAACACTAAAAATGTCTTGCCGTTCTTCAATTCGTAATCCTGGCACCTACTTTAATTGCGCACAAGCAAATTACATGTACTTGTATCCGGGAAACAAAACTGTTTATTGTTACATTGTAAACATTTTCAAAACCTTTACAAATCCCTTTTAAATAAATAAAAATAAAGAAGGAATGCTCTTGGTATACGAAATTTAAAGTATTTTGAAAAGAAATATTGTCAAATTAAAAAAAAAAATGTGTTCTACAGTGTTGTTTTAAGTATAAATATTCGCTCTCATGACCACATTTCGTCTACATGCTACATCATACGCAACATATTAAGTTACAACTCTTTCAAACCTTTCGACTTACTAACACGATATTAAAAGAGACTTTTTTAAAAATTCAATACAAGGAAACACGAGGCAGGATATCAAAGAAATGCAAAGCATATTATATGAATTGGCAAGATGACAATATTCTCTCCGAGTTGGATTATGTAATATCTCGAAGAATAGATCTGTTATAAATAGCCTTATAGGCACTGAATACAACCTTCGACCATTTTGTAATTTATTATACTGTACTTTACATTCATGTTTGCGCTGTTAAATTGATTTGTTTGCATTTTTTGTTTCCTGCATGGCTCAATATTTAATGATCAACCCAATTCAACCCCATTCCCGATGTTAATATAAACTTTGGATCCGCCCTTTTTCACAGTATTCTAAATTTATTTTCAATAATTTAATTGTGAATTGAATAATGATTTTACAGATACTAGGTCTTGTGTTACTGGTCATTGGATGTTTAGTCAAATTCAAGAATGACTTAGTGACGGAATATGCTGCCGAACTTTTCAAGGTCATCAAACTGGACTCTGCCAATTACAACCTTGATGAACTCCTCGGGTCATCAGCAATTGTCTTCATCATTGTAGGCGTCGTCATTCTCGTCGTAGGAGTCCTTGGATGTTTGGGGGCCTGTTGTGGATGGAGAGTATTCCTTGTCATTGTAAGTGTTGCGTGTCATTTTTGTTCCTGGTCTAAACACCATCAAAGGCCAATAAATTTTCCATGAAATAACATGCCATTGGAATTTTTAAATTTACTTGTAATTTAGCACTTAGCAATTCATCCAAGAGTTGCTGCAATATAGCATGCCTTTCTAATTTTCAAATTTACTTGTAATTTAGCACTTAGCAAGTCATCCAAGAGTTGCTGCAATATAGCATGCCTTTCTAAAATTTTCCGAAAAGCGCAATTTTTGGAGGGCTTTCTTTATGCCCTGTGTCACTGAGGAAAGAAAAGTCATGAGATTTAAAAAAATGAGACAATCTTCAGTTTTTTGCATCGTTGTAAACCCACGGTCGGTCTCGCTTTTCTTATTTTTTTTTTTGGGGGGGGGGTTGGTTTTGGTTTTTAAAACATTTATTCTCTGACTTCCATTGCGATACTAGAAAAAGAACGACGAAGCTCTTATATACCATACACATGTAAATTAATCCTTTTTTCTCTCTCTCTTTGCAGTATGCACTCATTGTATTTCTGGTTCTTATTGCTGAAATCGCCGGTGTTGTTTTGGCAGCTTTGATGAAAAAGGATGTAAGTTGGATTTTATGTGGATCACCGTTTTATTAGTAGTAACTTATTAAATCTGACTTCTTAGATCCGCGCCGTATACAGTCTTCTTATGAGGAGTATATTTTCATCCTATGCCACATATACGTATGTAACCCGACATCTTTCATTCAAACGTCTTTTTCTTATGGATATCTTTGCTTTTTCCCTGGTGTTCATTAAAGCTTATGGAATATTTCATTGAAGCGCTTTTATGTAATTGAATCTCATTTATTATAATGGAAATCGGTTTTCTGAGTTTAATTACTCTTACAATGGACATAAACTACAGATAAGATATGTGAATATATGAATATACCCCTGTTTCTCTTGTGTACAGGTCTCTATATATACTAAACTATAGCTTAAAAGATCAATGGTTTGGTTTTACCTTTATAGTTTGTTTTCTTATATTTTTTCACTATTTTCTAGGTTGACAAAGTAATTAAGGATGGTATGAAAAAATCAATCGTCGAGAAATATAAAGGAGATAAGTCACAAGAGCCTGTTACGCTGGCCTGGAATAGCATTCTCATAGAGGTAGGTATAACCATTAAAAGAAAATCCTTGTGCCCCCACCCCAACCACCCCAACCCTCACCAACATGCAAGCAATGCCTAAGTCTATATTCAGTTTTTCTGAAAGTAATCTACAGAGGATGGTTTTAATAGATAATTTTTTTTTATATTTAGATGAAAATTTTTATCTCTAATTAATTCGTTTTAAACGTTTTTTTTCACCATTAATCCAAATGAGAGATAGAGTTAGAGGAAAGAGAGGTTCATTCCTTAAAGAATACAAAAAAAAAATTGCCAAAGTAGATTATCTCATGCATTGAAAATGAATATTAATTTTTGATTGTTTTTTAAAAATTTAGTTTAATTGTTGCGGAGTAGACAATTATGAAGACTTCAGCAATGCTACCCATTGGAACAAAACATTTAATGGACAGGAAAGACCTCTTGTAACCCCTGTTAGCTGTTGTACGGAAGTCAAAGGTGAATTCCCAGATTTGACTTACCCTAGCGATACAAGTTGTGCTGAAAGCCCAACAGATGCCACCAACAATTGGAAAAAGGTATCACAATTAGACTTAGATAATAAAGCATTACAGTAGAACTTGATTATGAGGAAATTATTGAAATTTCTTGATTAGTTTCTCCAAAAAATATTTCCGTCTAGTTGTATTTCCGTACAAAACCACAATGCACTTCATATTCCATTTCCACAAACCCGTAGCTGTATCGTTGTAATTTTTGAATTTACTAGGTATCAGTAAATGCAGAATTTACAACTCGATATCTGCCTAATGCAAAATTTACAACTCGATATCTGCCTAATGCGAATTTCTCTCTCACCATAGAAATCATCCCATCTCATCATTTTTCATAAAAATTCGAGAGAGAACGAGATAATTAAGGCAGTAGGCAGTCACGGGTTTGTGGAAATAGAATGGACACAAAACCCGTGGTTTGATGGTGATATCCATGAGAAAATTTGACTTGAACATATTTTCATTTTCTTTCTTTAAAACAGAGTACCTGTATATTAAAGCAAGTTATAATGTTCATAGAGACAAGTTTATTTGAATTTTGCCTGTGATTTACAAATGGCTATCATTATTGAAAATCGTGAAAACAAGTCGAGCTTTAAGATTTTTAGCTCTTCGGTTTTTTTTTTTCAATTTTTTTCCTTATTACAGGGATGTTATTCAGCGATTGAAGACTTTATTAACAAGTACAGTAACATCTTTATTGGTATTGGTGTCGTGGTAGCAATATTTGAGGTGAGTTATAAAGAGAGCTGTGTTTCTTAATGACTAAGAGTATATCCACCCGAGAAAAAGATTTGTAGTATCAAAAATATGTGGATTTGATTGCTTCATCAGTCCAGTGAGCTTACTTCTCCACCTCTTTGTACAAAAAATCATGCATTAGCAATTTCATTGAAAACAACAATATTCACTGGCTGGCACATTATTTCAAATGGTTAATTGCTGTTATCGGTGAAATACGTACAGTATATTAAGAGATTAAGATCGAAAAGATAGGGACAACTGTGTATGAAAAATTAAAATGAGCTACATAATGTGCCAAGATGGTATGTGTTTGAATCTTACGGCATAAATTAATGATAAACAACTTCTTTGTCCATAGATCCTGTGTATTGTGTTTGCCATCTGTGTCTGCAGGAGCGTGGAGGAGGGAGAAAAAATGGTCTAAGAAACCATAAAATCCAGTAAAAGGAGATCATACAGCCACCATAGCTTTAACTCGTTCTTAATGTAAACTGATGACCTCTCCCAAATACTTGACTTTACTTTTATATAATGGACAGTTTCTATCAGCGGAGTATCATGCTATTCTTTATATTATAGTTATTAGTAGCTTGACAATATATGCAACTCTAATGATTATTCGGGTTAAAAAAAAAGAGATGTGTAAGAACAAATAATTGAATCTCTTTCATCCTTATTATAACCGGTGCCATTTTGAGCTCGTGGTGCATCCTGGGAAAAAAGATAACACATTGGTGATCTCGTTAAACTATACATATCAATATACATCATATTTCACAAGCAACATTTCGTTTATCATATTTACATTCCATATTTTTTTTTCTTTTTGTAAACACTCGTTATAAATTATTTGCACTTCAGGATCATTGAAATACATGTACATGTATGAAAGTTGGCATCATAAGGTATTTAATCCCAAAGACACTATTTGCTTGTAAAATTAGATGAAAAGATAATTTTTCAGGCATAAAATATGAAAAGAATAAAAATAAAGAAAAAATACATTTTAAATGCATTTTGATGGATCATAAACTATACGTATTACATTGTATATGTATTTGTATCCTTATTCAAAGCATCATTGCCTTGTATTATACAGTGATCTGCGTATGACGTTTGACTTATGACGTTTTACGTCAAGAAATTGGCCGATCGTGGATCTTTTACATATATACCTTTAGTATGTTATTGATTTTAGCATTTGGGGTTGTAGATTTATATAGATTTATGTAAGTATATCAAATGAGATATATAGAACCAAAGTAGTTTTGATATGTTTTATGTACAAGTCAGAATTCCCATTTCAGCTGTAAACTTAAAGAGATAAAACAATTTGTAAATGATATTTTTAATAAGTATTTGCATTTAGTGAAATCCAAATTGTATGGTTATTTTTTCTCACTTTCTAGTACAGTTTATGCAATATATATGGGCCAATAAAGACATGATTTATATTTTTGTCTTGTTTACTTATATTTTAATTGAGGATGGGTATTGTCATATAAAGGGGCACATCTATATGTCCTTGAAATTCTGAGTATTATAAGGCTTTTTGAAATCAGTTAATGTATGTGCCATTTTAAAACTTCTTAGGTCACATGAGTATCTTAAATGACTTATTCCTGTCCATTTTTGTTATGCATGCGTCAGTCAGCATTTGATTTATTAATGATAGATTGTATTTGCTGACAAGGTCATTATATCGACCATAGAACCTACGAAATGATGACTTAAAAGAAGACTGTTGATAGTCTTATTTAATCAACTTGTTTGTCAATAACTTACCTCGTTTTAGAAATTGTTCATACGTAGAGCATGCTCTTGCGTATCGAATCAACTGAGAGATATAAACCCCATATGCAGGCGATGAAGGTATATTGCTGCATAAGTAAGGGAAGCTGATGATTGAAAAGTTAAAATCATCACGTTTATGACAAAGCTTGGATGTTAGATTACCATTAACGTCTTTTTCTAGTAAAATATCCAAATATGAAACAGATGTGTCAGACTCTGTAGTATCTTTTATTTCAAGCTCACTGGGATATATCGTATCGACATATGAAAGGAAATGACCATTGTGAATTGACAATACGTCGTCGATATATCTAAATGTCGAGTTGAAGGCCACAGCAAGTGTTTTCTTCTTTTCCCGTACAAGATTTTGAATAAATTCTGCTTCATATGAATACAAAAATAGGTCTGCTAATAACGGGACGCAATTGGTACCCATGGAAATTCCAATAGATTGTTGGAAGACCTGGTCTCCAAAAACCACATAAATATTGTCAATCAGAAACTCAAGCATCTTTTTAATATCAACTTCAGAGTACTTTTGTGTACAATGAGAATGTTTTTTAACAAAATAATATTGCAAATGACTGATGACAATGTAAGTAAATTTACGAGTTCCATTTTTATTGAAAAAGCAGCTGTCAATGAATCATATCTACAATGTACTGGTCAGAATTTAATGATGTTATGCATTAGCACTTGTCGAATTCGTATGAGTTTTTTCCCAATTACTTGTATATATAATGTATATGGGCAAATAAATATATGATTTATATTTTTTGGTCCTGATTCACTTATTAAATTGGTCGGCCGCGTGGCGCAGTAGTTAGAGCGTTTGCTCTAGAGTCGCGGAGTAAGGAGTTAATCCTTACGTCGCGGGTTCGAATCCCACTGTGGGACGTGGACACCGGTCCTTCGGATGAGACCGTATAAACCGAGGTCCCGTGTCGCAGTAGGTACTGATACGAAAAAGATCCCTCACTGCTCAATGGCCCTAAGTGCCAAGTATATGTAAAAATTTCCAGCTCTCCACCGACAAGTGGTGGCGTCTCCATATGAGCGAAAAATTCTCGAGAGGGACGTTAAAGAACAATAAACAAACAAAACAAAACTTTTTAAATTGAGAATGGGTTCTGTCTTTTCTGCAATACTAAGGGGTTCATCTTAATGTCCTTTGAATTTTGAGTATTTTAAGGCTATTTTAAGGTTGTGGCTATTTTAAAGTTTTTTTTTCGGTAAAATGAGTTTCTCACAATCTTTTGCTATCTTTTTTTTTGTCTGTCGTCATGCATCGTCCTTCTTCGGCCGAAAACCTTTATATAATTTGAGCTACTCTTGGACTACTGAACCATTTTCAACTATTTTGTTTGGTATATAGCATCTGTATGGGTAATAAGAAACAAAACTTGTGAATTTCAATATGACTAAGCAATAGTTTTTCTGTTCTTGAGAAGAAATATTTTTTTCTATATGTTCTTATGTAAAACTTTCGATCCTCCAGTGGGCCCCACCCTACCCCCGCAAAGACGGATCCAGGGCCAGCGCACCGGGCGTGCGCCCCCCGTTTGAATATTTTTATGTAGGACTTGTATGTCCATTATCCTAAATTCAAGGAAAAACATCTCTTCTTTGTAAGAATTTGTCAGCTTCCCAGACCCCCACCAAGGCCTTGCTCTAGACCCACTGGGGGCTTCAATGCAGCCCCCAGACTCACTGACTCTACTCACCACCCCCCCCCCCCCCGCATTACGAAATTCCTGGATCCGCCACTACCCTGGGGGTCATCATTTGAACAAAATTGAATTTACACATTTACACTACCTGAAGATGCTTCCATATCAAAATGACTTATCATGGCTTTGCAGTTCTTCATGAGAAGATATTTTCCTTTATATTTCTATTTAAGACTTTGATCCTCCATTGTGGCCCCACCCTACCCCCCGGGGGTCATGATTTGAACAAAATAGAATCTACACTACCTGAGGATGCTTCCACATAAATATGACCAATCAGAGCTTTGCTGTTCCTGAGAAGAAGATTTTTTTAAAGATTTTTCCTATATATTTCAATGTAAAACTTTGATAGACCATTGTGGCCCCGCCCTACCCTCGGGGGTCCTGATTTGAACAAATTTGAATCTACACTACCTGAGTATGCTTCCACATGAGTTTTATCTTTCCTGGCCCAGTGGTTCTTGAGAAGAAGATTTTTAAAAGATGCTATTTATTTTTACACCAATTCTCTATTATCTCCCCTTGAAAGAGGGCATTGCCCTTCATTTGAACAAACTTGAATCCCCTTCACCCATGGATGCTTTGTGGCAAGTTTGGTTGAAATTTGCCCAGTGGTTCTGGAGAAGAAGATGAAATCGTGAGGAGTTTACAACGACGAAGACGCCGACGACAACGACAACGACAGACAACGGACAAATTTTGATCAGAAAAGTTCACTTGAGCCTTCGGCTCAGGTGAGCTAACAAAAACATTACATATACATGTACTGTATTAGAAAGAGAAAAAAAATCCTAAAGTTGGATCTCACTAAATGCTAATACATATTAAAAATATCATTTACAAATTGTTTTATCTATATCTAATAAAAACATATCAAAACTACTTTGGTTCAATATATCTCATTTGATATACTGGCATTAATCTATATAAATCGACGACCCCAAAAGCTAAAACCAATTACATACCATAAGTATAGGTATATATAAGATCTACGACTGGCCAATTTCTTGACGTAAAACGTCTTAAGTCAAACGTCATACGCAGATCTCTGTATAATACAAGGCAATGATGCTTTGAATAAGGATACAGATATTTGAATGAAAATTTCATATAATTCATGACACATTGAAATGAACTTCAAATGTATTTATTCTTTATTTTTATTCTTTTCATATTTTATGCCCGAAAAGTTACCTTTTCATCTATCTTACAAGCAAATAGTGACTTTGGGATTAAATACCCTATGCTGTCAACTTTCATACATGTATTTCAATGTTCCTGAAGAGCAGGTAATTTATAACTAGTTTACAAAAAAGGAAAAAAAGGAGTATGGAATGTAAATATGATAATATAATAAAGACCTGGGGATGTTGTTTGTGAAGTATGAACAATTTCTAAAATGAGGCAAGCTATTGACAAACAAGTTGATGAAACAAGGATATCAACAGGTTTGTTTAAAGCAATCATTTCTTAAGTTCTATGGTTGACACAATAACCTTGTCAGCAAATACAATCTTTCATTAAGTCGACCGCTGACTAACGTTTTTCACCCTTTATTTACAAACTGAGTTGTCTATGGATTTTTCCGTTTGCCCAATCATGACAAGGAGCACACGGCGGTTGTGACCGGTTCACAGGGGATGCTTACTCCTCCATGGCACCTGATCCCACCTCTGATGTCTTTTGAAGTCCGTGCTTGCTCTGCTCCCGATTTGTATTGTTTTAAATAGACTTTTGAACTTGATTACTGTTCATTATGTCTGTATTTCATTCCGTAATCAGTGTCAAAGCTCTGCTCGCAGACTGGAAAATTCGTCTGACACACTGAAGTGGTATGTACTCATCTCTGGCGGAATATGTTCTCTGATTTTGATTGGATAAACATCTTTTTTTCTAAAATTACGTCGGAAAAATGTCAACAAATTATCTTTTCACTGCAATATTTAAACTTTTAAGGACATACGCAACGTACCTTACCTACTGATAAATTTTCAAGATATTCTGAATTTAATATTATAGTGCCATCAGATATTCGTAGACGAAAAATCAGCATGCATTACCAGGGGTTTTGAAAAGATATCAATTGATGAAAATTCTTGTATAATTCAAAGAAAAATGATCAAAAATTACTAAACATATATTCTAGATGTTTTGTTTATCCAAATATGTTTTAGAAGAAATGTACAACAGCATATATAGACATTAAAATGTAGCACACAGTTCCTTTAAGTTTTGGAACTCTTCAACTCCAGGGAAAAAGAACAATAAAGTTCAAACAACGTTGCGTATGTCCCTAAACCACTTATTTTGAAGTTTTGCTGTCTGTCCGAGATTAGTATATACTACTTCATGGCGTGAGACGAATGTTCGAGTTTCCAAATCTTCTTTGAAATCTTTAATGAAATTTTTGTACTCATTTGCTCATTTATTCTTTACCTAATATACCCTGACATGTGTGAAACTATGAATTCATGTGTGGTTAATAATTTACCGGATCTTTGGACATAGCTGATGATCTATAACCCTTTGTGTACCAAACGAATCAAACTAAATTGTCAGAAAAAAAGTAATGTATGTGCACAATGACAAAAACAAGAAAATACCATGAATCAATGGATACCACAAATTTCTGAGAAACGACCATATAAATAGATAAACTCTCTACATTTAGGTGTATTGTTTCAAGACTAAAAGCACATGTTCCACAAATCTTAAATTAAAAAAAAAACTTTTTCCAAGGACATATTTTTTGGAATTTATAGCCAGTGCATTTACTCGTGAGGTATCTTAGAGTCTGTCTATTATTCACTTTTACACTTCGGAGAAAAACCTTTCCTCCTGGCTTTTGTTTTTCTAGCACCTCCACTTCTACGCAAGTTTTATATATATATATATATATATATATATATATATATATATATATATATATATATATATATATATATATATATATATATATATATATTTGCTCGGTCTCGCACCCTCTTCAAAAATTTCTGAATTGTTATCAACTTCGCGTTCAATCAGTTCAGCCATATTGGTTCAGACGTTTACAAGCAACGCTGTCCAATCATTTTTCACAGTTTAAACATAAGTCCCTCGACGAAGAATTCTTTCTTTATGGTTGCCCGGATTGTATTCGGGGGCCAATCGCTGATGAAAATGGATCTGATCTCTCTAGAGCGACAATCAACAGTCATTCAAATATTATGATTGTAACCAGATGCTTGAATCATGTGTCACTCACTCTAACCAAACTCAACCCCAACAGACCTCAAGATTATAAACTGAGAACAAACTTAAGTGAAATTTTCAAATTATAACTTTTGAAATAATTTTGAAAAAAATAACAAAAATTTCAACATGTATTTATTCTGAAATATTATACAAACCGAAATCTTTCTAAACATACTCGCTGTATTAGGATCAAGATATTTAAAATTTAAATTTTGACTCAAGTCTATTTTTATATTAGTTTATGGTCTTGAGGCCTGGGATCTGAATTCTGGACTCGTGTGACATGAATTTTACATTTGATAAAAATAGTGTTTTATAATCAAATTGAATGAAACTCGTTTCCTAGATGTTCAGGGGTATAAAAGATTTTATAGAAATGATGGAGTTTATATAAATGAATCACTGGAGCACAGTTGTAGAGAAGTCATAGAGTAATGTTATTATGAGTACATTTGTTTATTTTAAAAATGTCAAGGAATAAAGGTTTTCAGAATGTAAAATATTCAATTTTTTTTTTAAATTATAGTGTTATCCTCACTCTGAATATACACTCTGATAAAATTACCAGTTATGCAATTCCTTATCATTACTTTGCGTATAGTTTACCTGTTAGGTATTCATGAGTAAAGAAAAATGTTAAAGGTTTAATGTTTTTCCAGCATGAAAATAGCTCATGACTTTCACAATTTTGATAGAAGATTAACTGCTCATTATAACATGAAAACACTTTTCCTGAAAGATGTCCAACAGAAAAATAAATTTTGATGGTTTCAATTTTATCTATCAGATCCCTGGGACTGGGGCAATACATTTTCTCAAAGTCAATTAATTCTATACAGTAAAATTGTTTGGAATTTTCAAAAATTTACGAACGATGCACTACGTACAACGATGACAGTGGAAAGACCCTGAGTTTTACAGCAAAATTTGCTGACTGAGCATTTTTAAATCTATAGCGATTCAATGATGGTTGAATTTAAATAATAACAAGATAATATATTGATGCAAAGCATCAAATCGGCCGCAAACGTTTCACGTACTGATCACAATATACACGAGATTGCCGATGATTTCGACAGGCGCGACGATGGACATCACAATAAATGTGAAGTATCGATTACAATGTAATTATTGTTTTGTCATTCACACCAGTGGCAAAGAATGAGTGCACTTTAGTATGTCATTTGGAACCTTTTCGGCTATTTATTTTGAGATTTAAATTACAATAAATCGCTAATTAAAATTAATCTGTGGTTATTGTGCATGCATATGCTTTTGATATTTATGCTTTGAATGTTTTGTCATACATATTTCTATAATTACAGACAAATTCATTGAGAAGAACATGTATTAACCTTAAATTCCGGAAAATTGAACTGGACCACTTCCGAATTTAAGGTATCCGCACATAGGCGGAGACATTTAAATGGTATGGAAGTGGAATGTAAACATTAGCACCTGATTTTTTCCGTATTCAGATTCTACACTATGAATTTAAATGGAGAAGAGAGAGATTGTGTAGTTTCGTGGTGCACAAATAATAAATGATTCTAGTGTTTAGGGCTGGGTTGTGTCTACAGATGCCTGCAGACCATAATACAGAGGCGACGTGAGCACAGCTATACCTTCTAATCGTGCACCTGATTTGCACTGACAATACCAGAATTTCTTTCAAAATACCCCTAACAAAAAAATAGAATAGTAAAAGAAGAATATATAATCTTTAAAATCTTAATACAATTTTCACAAAACTCTTCAATATTTTGAAGTTGGAAGTCAATAGACACAAGGAATTTAACTTCCGAGGACAGACACAATCGAACACGTATCGAACAGTGAAACGTCACGTGAGTAAAGTGATTATAATATCAATCGGGTCAATATGGGTTGACACACGGGGACCTGTTAATTTAGTAGCTAACTCGACCGTACTTTGGAGACTTTTTTTCAAAAAATTACATATGAGCCGCAAATTGTCCAACATTACCCTTAGGATATGTATAAGTTTAAGTCAAAATTTATACACATTCTGTGCAAATGAGATGAATGGACAAGTTGCGGCTCGATGTAAACAATGTCGTTGAAAACTTGTATGCATATGATTTTCAATAGAAATCCGACAAAATCGCTTGACCCCGTCGCAAAAACCAGTGTCGCTCAGCATTATTTAATACTTTCATGTGATATATATCAAACCCTGCTCTTAAGACATTGTTTAATAATTCTGATACAAAAAGTAAGAAACTTCGGATATTTATTTTTCTCAAAGCACCGGGACCCAATTCCCATAGCTTAAGTGCACTGATCCTTTCAAAACAATTTTTCTTTATATTTTCAAGAACTGTATTTTTTCGGAAACTGCGATCGTATGGAGTTGCATTTATACATTATACACTCCCATGCTGGGGAAAACTTCTTGTAAGCTTTTTTTTTTTTCCATAAAACCATAAATTAATATCATATGAAAACTGACAAAAAATTGAAATGCCTTTATAACAATAATTAAGACATAATATAAAAACTATTTTTTATTAAAAAATCAAAACTTTGATGCATGCTATCAATAAGGAATTATTCTATCGAAACAACAAAAAATAATTTCTCATTTCTCCATGTGCACTTTCTAACACAACCACAAATAGATCGGCCGCTGCTGCGGCCGATAATAACCCGTATGATCAAAAAGAAAGTAGATAAACAGGCGGTTTGTGGAAATTCTGGGCGTTTTAAGGTAAGATAAATGGTTTAATAAAAGTTTTGCACAAACCAAATGAATCACACTTGTTCATTAATTTTGATCAGCGCGTGTAAAATAAATACCCAATTACGAAAGAAAACAAGCCGATTTGTCACGTATACTAACGCATCCTAAGCGAGAATAACGATACACAGCAGGTCGCATACATGCAATGTTTATATTAACGTTCTATATTGTCAAAATTTTACACAACACATGGTGTCTTATTTAGCCCTAATAGATGTAATTAGAATATAAAGTCCGCCGACAATCTGTATTATATTTCATAACTTTCCACATGCTCCTGTGATAAAAAAATAGTGCCATGCGACGGCACCGTGTAATTCATGGACTGGAGACATGGAGTGGAGTTATGGAGTAGACTTTGGAGTCAAAATTGCTTTTAAAATCATGAATAGAAAAAGATGTATATGTACATTTAACCAGTTTGTATATAATATATATATATATAATTATGTTCTTAATGTACCCCGGACCATGAACCAGTATTTTGGTTTGGGTGAATAAACTGAACTTGAACTCTTCTGCTATAGTTCATAATTATTTGAATGATTCATTCTGTTAAGAAAGAAAAACAAAACCAAAGAAGCTTTCTTTAATTTAGTGTTTGAATTTAATTGTTAAGATTATTTAGTACTATAGAATGCATGCTTGATTAACTGTCTGAAAAGAAGTTGGCAATTAAGGTTATGTGTGAGTATAATTTTAAGTTAATTAGATATTCTTTTGCTTTTGTCTAGACGTAACAAACCAAAATAGAGATGGCATCGTCGTCAAAGTTTGAAAGAGAAAGCAACACGGACGATGAAAGCAATGACAATCCGGTGTTAGACATTGACTTTCCAGAAACAGATGTGACTTTAGTTGTGGAGGGTAGAAAACTTCACGTCAATAAAGCCGTCCTTTCTCAACATTCACCTGTATTTAAAACAATGTTTTCTGGAAACTTTAAGGAAAGTACTCAAAAGGAGATACCACTTCAAGACAAAAAGTTCCAAGATGTTGTGGAATTTCTTAGATGTTTTTATCCCAACATGAAACATGATGTCACAGGTAAAAGAAGTCATCCACTATACCGTCGTCATGCATCATTTATCGTCCATCGTGCATATTTGCATTGTCCGTCGGTTGTACACCTTTAAACTTTTCAGCTTCTCCGCAACGACTGAACCAATTAAAATCAATTTTTATATAAACTACCTGTGAGCAAATGGGACCATTTTTTTTGGGGGGGGGGGGGGATAACAGTCATGATTATAACATGCAATAAGCCTCTACCAAAATTGTAAAATTCATGGATTCAAGAGTCATGCTCCAAGGTGGGTCAAATAGTTTGTCAAATACAAGTATTGAAAATGTAGGAAAAAAAATTTTCTTTAATCTTGGACAAATTATGGGCAAATTGTTTTACCGAAATTATGAAATTTACTGCCCCATTGGCCCTGAGGTAGAGCTTAGTTGGGCAGGTATTGACATCATTTAAAATCTTCTTTCATACTTTAAGACATTTAGCAGACAAACCATATCCATGATTATACTGTCACTCAGCTCTCCACCAAAATTTTAAAACTCGTACCTCTGACCTCCATGGTTCAGGCTCCAATTAATATAAAGCCAAGTCTGTCATATAGTGGAAATACATTACACTCTGAATATCTTCTACTTTCATCATTCACTATCTAGCAATCAAACTATTTGCATGGTTTCAGTAAAATCGTAAACCTTACTTTTACAAAATTGTAAATTTGTGGCTCAGTGTTCAAGTCCCAGAGTAAGACTAGGTTTGTTTGTTTATATGTTGTTTAACGTCCCTCTCGAGAATTTTTCACTCATATGGAGACACCACCACTTGCGGGTGGAGAGCTGCAAATTTTGTCCTATGCTCGGCACTTACGGCCATTGAGCAGTGAGGGATCTTTATCGTGCCAGCATTTACTGTGACATGGGACCTCGGTTTATACGGTCTCATCCGAAGGACCGGTCTCCACTTCCCACATTGAGATTCGAACCCGCGACGTAAGGATCAACTCCTTACTTTTCGACTCTAGAGCAGACGCTCTAACCACTGCGCCACGTGGGCTGAGACTAGGTTAGTAGTCATCTATTGGAAATGCATCTTTGAATTTTTTTTCATATTCATTTATTAAGGTCATCTAGTTGGGCACACTGTTTGCAACAAATATTTAACCTTTTATCAAATTTGGGAAATTCATGACCCCTAATCCCATGGTTCAGTACCAAAAATGCGTGATTATAATAAGTTCTCAATTTTTTGGTGTTCATTATAACTTCGAAAATCTTCTTCTCTATTCATGGACATTTTAACATGCAAACATTTTCAATAATTATAATAAACTTTTAGCCCTCTATCAAAATTGTGAAGTTCAGGGCCCTTGGGTGGAGGGTAGTTGGTGATATCATATTAATAAATGGTACCTGTTTTGGAGGGTAACAGTTGAAATTGACACCACAAGGAAAACCATTGTCAACCGACACTTTCGCGTCAATATCACAAAAGGGGGATATCACATGAAGTCCTTTCAGCCAATGAAATTTACAAAAATAATCCTCTTATATAATATTATTTTTTGTTACCCGTTGTCAAGTGAGTTGCTAAGGCTTAGGGTAACATTACAAATTGTTAAATGCGTCTAAACCAATATGATTTTAGTATTTTACATGAAAGTGTAATAAGATATATTATTATACCCCCCGCAAACGAAGTTTAGGGGGGGGGGGGGTATATTGGAATCAGCATGTCCGTCTGTCTGTAGACAAAATATTGTCCGGACCATTTCTTGGAAACTGTTGAAAGGATTTGTCTGAAAATTTGTACACTTCTTATTTGCCATATGAAGGTGTGCACCTGGTATTTTCATCATGATTGGATAATTTTTTTTGCATTTTACAGGTGTTTTTCTCATTTTTATTATGCGGTTTTGTCCGGATCTGTTCCCAGAGACTATTGCATAGATTTGTATGAAAATTTGTACACTTATTATTTACCATATGAAGATGTGCACCTAAAATTTTCAACATTATTTGATAATTTTTCTGCATTATACAGGTGTTTTATTTTTTTCATTTTTATTGACTTAGTCATTTTGGGTTCATGTCTAAGGTTTGAGACATAGAATCTAGAACATCTGTACAAAAATGTGAACTACAGCCTAAAACTACTCATTAAAACTAAAAAAAACATAGGTAATCAGAGATTACAGAGCTCACCTCAAGGAATGTTGTCTTTAAGTAAGGCAAAGTCCCACACTAAACTAATAATCTAGAAGTGTGCATCCCTAGATGCAATATTTATGCAATTTTGGTCTGATAGGGCTTGCAGTTACTTGGGAATAGACTTATCTGAAAACTTAAAACTAGTCACTCATTCAGAAAATGTAAGTCAAATCCAGCATCTGAAGCAAGTTTTGAGATTGTTGCATCATCCATGCAAGTTTGGTTCAGATAGGCCTTATAGTTACTTGGAAATGAGATCTGCTCCAAAAACTTTAATCTGGTTACTCATCCAGAAAATGTAAGTCAGATCCAACATCCGAAGCAAGTTCAGTAGTGTGAATCCTTAGATGTATCATCCATGCAAGTTTGGTCAATATAGGGCTTTTAGTTACTTGGAAATGAGATCTACTCCAAAAACCTTAACCTAGTCACTCATCCGGAAAATGTAGGTCAGATCCAGCATCCGAAGCAATTTCAGTAGTGTGCATCCTTAGATGTTTCATCCATGCAAGTTTGGTCAATATAGGGCTTTTAGTTACTTGGAAATGAGATCTACTCCAAAAACCTTAACCTAGTCACTCATCCGGAAAATGTAGGTCAGATCCAGCATCCGAAGCAAGTTCAGTAGTGTGCATCCTTAGATGTATCATCCATGCAAGTTTGGTCAGTATAGGGCTTATAGTTACTTGGAAATGAGATCTACTCCAAAAACCTTAACCTAGTCACTCATCCGGAAAATGTAGGTCAGATCCAGCATCCGAAGCAATTTCAGTAGTGTGCATCCTTAGATGTATCATCCATGCAAGTTTGGTCAATATAGGGCTTATAGTTACTTGGAAATGAGACCTGCTCCAAAAACTTTAACCTGCTCCAAAAACTTTAACCTGCTCCAAAAATTTTAACCTGGTCATTCTTTAGCTGAAATTGCAGCATCTGAAACCTTGACTGGTACAATGAAACAAACTAGAAGCATCCTCCATGCATCTCTGACTAATATAGGCCATAGAAGTACTTGAAAAGAAAACTGCTCCAAAAACCTTAACCTGGGACGCCGACGCCGAGGGTATTACATAAGCTCCCCCAGCTTCGTTGAGGTGAGCTAAAAATCGCAAAGTATTAAAATCAGTTTTTACATTGTACAGCAGATAGTGTAAATCCATTTGTCCCTTGGGAGTAATGAGTGGACATGCACCCAGTTATCTCCTGGGAATTGGGCAGAAAGAAATAAAGATCTCTGTTGTCTAAGTCTCTTAATTGTAATTTATGTCTGTCAAAATACATAGTTAATGGAACCAACCTTTTATTTTTGAGTTTGATATAAAGGTATTAAGATCAATTTGATTTTGTGTAATTAATTATGATTTTTTTTCAGCAATCAATTTGCAGAGTGTCATGTCTCACAAAGATGACAGATAGTTGCAAACTATTTTTTCAGTGTAATAAAAAACACTGTAATTATTAGTATTGATGTTTTATTAGGCTGCACCTTAGTTTCATTCACTAAAAAAATATAATGAGTAATTAAATTTTCACTCTAAATGTTTAAGCTAATTGTGAACTCCTCTCACATCTAGAAAACATTAGTGATTTGGTGTACCTTCTCTGAAAAACCCAGCGGGGGGGGGGGGGGGGTATTTGTCCCTTTTGGACAGTTCTAGTTGAATTACTGAAAATACATTACGTTTTAAGTTTTTTCTCTACTCATAACAGGCAAACTTATCTCCACGATTAAAAGTAATATTTACAACTCTAATAATTTTTTTAAAAAAATGGCTTCTGTCCATGGTGTATGCTCGAATGAAGTTGACCATACCCTTAATTAGAAATACAATACCTTCTTTATATAAGGAAATCAATGATGAGAATTAACCCTCAGTTTTCTACCAAAAATTCATGGCCCCTAGCTCATGGTTCAGATTCCAGGGTAATGCTAAATATTTCATATTAGATGTACTTTACTAGTAATTTTTAAATATCTTCATTTCCCCCTGCCGAAATATGGAAGGAATACTGCCGATTTTTGCGTAAAACAGTAATCCATCAAACAAACAATCTTAATTTTCTCATGGGCATTAGCAGGCAGTTTATTTGCATGACTGTAGAGGATAGCTTGTCCTTTAATTAAATCATAAAATTCATGGTCCATGGCCGGGTACAGGAATGAACCCTCAGTAATGGTCTAAGTCTCTCATATATTGATTATTACAATGTAATTATTATAAAATGTACTTTATGTTCTTTACTCCTAAACTTCTAAGAGACATGAATATGATATTGATTATTGGATCCTCCTTTCGTTGTTGAAAAACTTTTGTTTCTCGATACATTCTGCCTATATATTTAACTTCATACTAAAACAAAATAAACGTTTATGAATGTTTTTCTATTATTAAAAAAATGTGAAAGTCTGATACGCGTAAACTTATCACACTGTTTTAGATTCTGGTTGGCAGAGAAAAAAGCATGACGCCTAAAAAACCTGAAATACGATCACCATAACACTTAAAATGTGTGTGAATAATTATGTTGCTTGAAGTTACAAATAACAAAACAGAGCCACAATTCTTACAATTATCTATTTTAAAAATATGTTTGATATTCATTACAAACATTGTTATTCAATTAAAAAAAAAAGAAGAAGAAATTCATATTATTTTTACACTGTACATTTGTAGAAAGCAATGTACTGCAGATACTACCTTTGGCACATGAGTACCAGTCTCCTCTTGTTGCCGATTGTGAGGAGTTTATGACAAACATGTGTAAACCAGGAACAAGTCTGACTGTGACCACATTACTGGATTACATCCTCGCAGCCGAAAAATATCACTTAAAGGCGTTACTGGATGCTGCAATGAAGTTTTGTGCACGTGTAGACTATTATCTTCTAAATGGAACGACAATTACACGAAGTTATGATTTTGGGAAGAGCGGATACACATACAAGCATACGGTAGACAAAAGTATTTCTGCGAAATTCAGGAATATAGAACTTGAACATCGGCATACAATTGCTGAAAAAAGGATCCAATTTCTGGAGATGTATAAAAGAAGGACAAACAATAGGGATCCAGTTACTGAAGATATCAGTCTCGAATTATCTCAGGAATCCAATCAGGAATAATCATTGTGTTGTCTGTACAAATAATACCTCTAAAAAATGTTTATGAATTAGTTTACCGTGTTTTAAATTCGATATCAAATCTATCAAACACGCAAATTTTCTTGGAACAATTTTTATCATTATTATAGAGGACTTCAACAAACTTAGTTTGAAGTTGACTTTGAAAATATAAGAATGGGAGTTTTGTTATAATTTCATTATATTATCGCTCTTTTTTTAATCATCATTTATCTTTGATTTTTTTTAATTTTTTTTTTTGTCATTTGTAATACTTAGCACAAATGTTAACCAAAAAATAAAATCAAAATTGAACAGTTGGAAACTTTCTTTAGTAAGTGTGTCTTGTATTATTTGATCAATTTGAATTCTGACGCGAGCATAATCCCTGGTTTCTGCTTATGTACATTTGTATTTTTTGAGTATCATTTCTCCTAAAAAGAAGGCCTAATATGTCCCTTAAAGTACTTTTTGTTTAATTTAATTTTTTTTTTAATTCGGTCTTTTGTTTTGCATCAAATAAAAATACATATACACTCGTAAGTGCATTATAGGAGATTGGTTCTTTACATGCTATGTTATGTTAAACATCTTAAGTGCATATGCATGCTTAGGATAATATCATGTTGAAAATTTTGAGATTTACTGGGTGGCAGTTAAACAAAATTTACAATATCACAAAATTGTTATGAAGATTATTATAATAATTTCATATATATATATATATATATATATATATATATATATATATATATATATATATATATATATATATATATATATATATATATATATATATATATATGCAGTATAGATGTTTGCTTACCATACTGTCATATCCTTACCATATTGTGATATCAAGCCTTGTCCCTACTGAGAAACATGAATCAAGAATTAAGGAGGGGCCTTGAAAAATGCTGCGTAAGTACATTGTATATGGCCATCCGTAGGGAGCTTACAATATTCTTCTCGACCAATGATGAAATTTCAAGTTTTAAATCAGAGGCAGAATATATCTTCATTTGTCTGTATATCTGACAAATATTTCGCTCTCACTCATTGAAACACTTTTAATCATAAATGGGATTACGATCCGAAAATTTCAAAGACTACTACATATGCATCTTTCCTGAGGAGTAAATTCTCTTAAATTCATAAATATAAAGAAAATAAAAATTTTGAATGATGCAATATATAAAAAAAACAATAAATTATATTTTTAATAGAATTTATACGTTTTTATTCTTTTTTTCTTCGACATAATTTTATTTGTGTTTTGGATATACCCCTTTATCTTCCTCTACAGGAACTCAATAGGGCCTTTAGACAAACTTTTTCTTAAGAGTTTTTTTTGTTTTACTTTTTCACTCATGTTGAGAAGCAACCAGTTGCCGGTGGAGTTCTGCAGATTTAGACCTATACTCGGTACTGAGGGCCATTGAGCATTGAGGGTTATATTTTATGTCAATCATGCCATAATTGTATCTAGTCATTTGATATAACTCGTTGTTGCTCTCAGGTTCAAACTTAATTTAATTTGTGTCTTAACTTTTGAGTTGATGTATATAACTTTAGTTACTTTTGTACATGTTTTTATACTGTGCTTTTGATTTACTGTCATTTGTTGCATATTTCAATAAATGATCATTTTTATTCTTTAAAGAGGAGTTATGTTGTTGTTTGATTGTGGTTGGAAAGGCAAGCAGACATAAATATATTTGGATAATCAGCCTTTTCAATTTCTACATCCGAGGTGTTTGGAAGGCACCTTTGTCATGGTCATGCCATCTTCATTTCCATTTTCAATTAAAGCAAACCTTCTATAACCTTTATGTTCAAGAGATGGTTATTAAGTCATCCCAAAATATGTAATCAAATATATATGACTACTTGTAGAAGGTGAAGTATTTTGACTGTCATCGTTTATAATGACAGCCATTTACGTTTTATTGTTATGACTTTTTTATAGCAAACAAGTCCTATTAAGAAAATAAAGGCTATTATTTGAAAAAATAAAATGCTTTTTTGTGTTTATACTGGGATGAATGATTACAACATTGCTAAAATATATGTAACACCGTAAGTGGTCCAACAATCGTGTATCCCTGTATAAACGAATTAACCAACCAATTTGTATTTGAAATATCAGTCAACATTCGATCTAAAGACAAGTTGTATAGTAGAAGTACTGAACATAGAATTTGCATAATGTTGACTTTAAACCAGATTTTTGATACCATTGTAAGATCAAGTTATTTGTCAGTAAACTTTTTTTTTCAGTTAAGAAATTGATCACATGTTAAATCTTGCGTCTCGTAACAGTTGGAGGATACAAACACCATATACAGGTTGTAAATTGTAAATAAATTAGGGAAGTGTGCGATAAAAAATTAAAGGCATCTTGTTTTTCATAATTAAAACTTTCGCTATTAGATTGCCAACGATATTGCTTATGAATCCGTGCAATTCATTTATGAAAGAACCATGAACGACAGGCCCGTAGGAAGCAATTTCAGTTTGAGGGGGCACAGCCAAACATTTTTCAGTTGACAGTTGAGGGGGCACTACCAAAAATTTTCTGACAAGCAAAAAAAAAAAAAAAAAAAAAAAAAAAAGGTCATCAGGCGGTTTTATTGAGGGGGCACATGCTTATAGTATCTATGTTTACTATAGTAATCTATATATCGGCAAAATTATTGGGGGGGGGCACGGCCCCCCGTGCCCCCCCCCCCCGGTTCCTACGGCCATGTAACGAATTTCCTTAGGATTTTAAAAAAGAATAACAGATGGCTTTAAAATCCGGATCTCGTTGGTTATGAAGTAAATTGCATTCATTGCTTCAAATTAATAGATAAATAGTGTTAAACAGCGTGAACAGTGTTATGGTTTTTATAAACAGTAAGGAAAATATATTACTAATAAGCAGTTGCAAAAAGCTCATGTTTACAGACTAGAGTACTTACAAACTTAGTGCTGATTATAAATGATCTTTTTTTCAAAAACTGATCAATTTTTATTGCACCACCACTCTTCTTTTTTTTTTGGGGGGGGGGGGGGAGTTACAATATCCATCAACCTTTTTTGTTTTTATCAACAGGCCTCTCTATTTTAAATTATTCCAATTTTTGTACATAAACATTTATATATTTAAATCAAATAATAACCACTTATTTGCAAACATCCTATCTCGCAATAATGTTTTGCGGCCATTCTAAATAGCTACCATGACTGAGTCTGTATTTGCCAAATACTAAGACTTAATCCCTTTTTTAAGAATCCTAGAAAATTACATTATCTGTTGATCGAAATTGCCTCGTGAAGATGGATTCTTATTAGTGTAAATAATTCTGATCCTTTTAAAAAAAAAACAACTAAAAGTTGGTCAAAATACCGACGATATGATAAAAACATTGATACATATACTACTTGTATTCAATTTCTAGTAATTTCTTAACTGAACAATACAAATTTTACATAAAAATATAAATTTTACAACTTGTAAGCTATTATCTTTAACTTTCTAAGTATTAAGGAACTTGAAGAAACCAGGTTCTCTATTTTTGTACAATCGCTGCTGATTCGGAATAATTTCATAGTAAAAGATTAATATTCTGCAGTTTTTTTTTAATGAAGAACAGCGCACCATAAAAGAAAGATTTGGATTTATGCAATATGCTTTGTCTTCTATGATACACCTATTGTTGATCTCATTTTTAAAGTTATCTTAGTTTTTCATTATTATTTCACTCAAAGTTAATGTCGCTAGAAATGATATGTTGTAAGTTCTCTTTTTTTTAAAATCAGTCACGAAATCATACTTATTTAAAGGGGCCTGGACACAGTTGCAGGCTGAATTTCCTCGTTTATACAAAAAGTAAACTCAGTTAAATGAATTGAACTTTCATGAATATTCTCAATTACAACGACATTCCTCTTTAAATCACGTCAAACATCTGTGTTTGTGAACAGGGCACGAGCTCTGTAATCGTTTATATTTACGTTTTACCAGGTGTGTCCAATTTGTTTACTCTGTACACATCACTGATCACGGACTGACAATACTGGTGAGTTGGTTTTGCTTTCTCACATTTCTACTCTGAATTTTCTGGATTAAAGAAGTTTCAATATTTTTATTAATACACAACAAAATTTCTATTTTTCTTAAGTATTAAGGATAAAGTTTACTTCTTGATAGTGCAAGGATATATGTGTCAATCAAACTCTTTCCGAAATTCGTAGTTTTAATAATTTCCAGATAAAAGAAGTTTCTAAACACGCTTTTATCATATTTCGGCGTGAAGTGCTCAAGCATCACATAAGTCATGATCTTATACTGGCAATTTCAGAAAACATTAACTTCAAATCTGCGTCCAAGCCCCTTTGAAACGAGTTTAATATTATCATTGAATGTCAATACCATACAGAAATGTAAAAAAAAAAAATTATTTGCGGACCTTGCATTTACGTCATGAAATTCACTTGGTAGTTGGCTGATTATAAAATAATATCATTATAGATTAGAACGCCATCCACTTATATACATGTAACATTGTAATGAATTTCATCTCAAAGAAAGGAAACAATTCATTTAAACATATCACATTCTTTAGTCTAAAAGACATCAAACTTTAGAATGTTTTTCTACAAATTAACGTGCAGATTGGTGTAACTGATACTCCATGCGCAGTGATTCAATTCAATACATTTGTATATTGCCTCTATGGAAAAATTAACAAAAATGTTTAAATACGGCTATGCAGGATATATTATGCATTATCAAAAAGCATTTGGTTTTGCAAACTTTTGGTAATCTTTTTATAGTTTTTTATCCCCCCTCCCCCCAAAATAAGAAAGATTCCTCTCTTACATCTTGCTTTTGCTTGTCATCTAGTCCTTAAATCTATCTGCATCTTCAGCATTTCTAAAACTTTTGATATGAGTAAGAGACCTCAAAGACTCAACATTTCTTGGTACAAATGTATGTTACGACTGGAGATAATGCTTTGACCTGAACTAAAGGTCATAATGACATTGGAAGGATCACAAATATTGGAAGAGTAAGGCCACTCCGGTTATTTTTCTATGTTTAGCGTCTGCGTGGACCTTGGTTTGGACCGCATAGGTCGGAAAAACGAACAAAATTGGGCATGGTGAAATTGATTATTTTGGTGAAAACTTTTTAATTCTGTCGTATGTTGAATGTATTTGTCTAAGTTATGTCAAATTCTGTCTTTGTTAAGCAATTAATACTCTGATTTTACTAAGGAATGTATCTTTCTATGAGAAAAATAAGAAATGAAGTTCACTCGCCAATTAAAAGATCGGGGCTCTCTGTATTAAGGCCTTTTCAAATAATTGCTTTTAGGTCATCATTTTTAACTTTCACCAATAATGGCGTGTCCAGCAGGACTATAGTTAAAAGAAGAGGACGAACAAGAACACGCAAGGGGAATTTGTTCTAAATGTTTAATATCTAGGCACTGGTTTGATTATAATTGAAAAGTTCAGAATCTACAGTTTAGGAAAACATGAAATGCAGGGTGTATACTGCAAGTTGAAATGTGAAGGAATGCAAGACTGAACTTTTTATGCCCCCGGATCGAAAGATCCCGGGGGTATATTGTTTTTGTCCTGTCTGTCTGTTTGTCTGTTTATCTGTTTGTCTGTTTGTCCGTTTGTCTGTTTGTCTGTTTGTCCGTTTGTCTGTTTGTCTGTTGTCAACTTTAACCTTGCCCATAACTTTTGATTGGTTGGAGCTATGACTTTCATATTTCACATGTGTATTCCTTGTGACAAGACCTTTCTTTGGGTACCATCATATTTGACCTTTTGACCTTGACCTTGGAGTTTGACCTACTTTTGCAAAATTTTATGAGACTTTAACCTTAGCCATAACTTCTGAACACTTGGTGCTTGGGGTTTCAAACTTCACATGTGTATTCTTTGTGACAAGGCCTTCCTTTGGATACCAACAACTTTGACCTTTTGACCTTGACCTTGGAGTTTGACCTACTTTTGAAAAACTTTAACCTTGGCCATAACTTTTGAACAGTCGGTGCTTAGGGTTTCAAACTTCACATGTGTATTCCTTGTGACAAGACCTTCCTCTGGATATCAACCACTTTCACCCTTTGACCTTGACCTAGGAGTTTGACCTACTTTTGAAAAACTTTAACCTTGGCCATAACTTTTGAATGGTTGGAGCTAGGGCTTTCATACTTCACATATGTAATCCTTGCGACAAGACCTTCCTTTGGATACCAACCACCACTTTGACCTTTTGACCTTGACCTAGGAGTTTGACCTACTTTTGAAAAACTTTAACCTTGGCCATAACTTTTGAATGGTTGATGCTAGGGCTTTCATACTTCACATATGTAATCCTTGTGACAAGACCTTCCTTTGGATACCAACCTATTTGACCCTTTGACCTTGACCTAGGAGTTTGACCTACTTTTGAAAAACTTTAACCTTGGCCATAACTTTTGAATGGTTGGTGCTAGGGCTTTCATACTTCACATATGTAATCCTTGTGACAAGATCTTCCTTTGGATACCAACCACTTTGACCTTGACCTTGACGTTTGACTTTTATTCAAAAAACTTTAACCTTCGCCATAACTTCTGAACAGTTGTATCTAGGTCTTTCAAATTTCATAGGTGTATTCCTTGAGACAAGACCTTTCTTTGGGTATCAACATTTCTTATCTTTTGGCTTGGATTTTGACTTGCATTTGAAGAAACTTTAACCTTCGCCATAAGCTGCCATACGGGGGCATCAGTGTTTCACAAACACATCTTGTTTATGATTAAGACTGTTACAAGTACTAATGTTCACACCATCTATTCCTTTGTTGCCTAATTTAAGTTTAAGGAACGAACGAGTTAAATTGGAATTATTATCTTCTTACTTACTACACACTTAAAGAGCCTGTGCTGGGCAACATCTATAATCAAAGATACTAGCTTTATTTTGCAGCTGAAGAATCCACTCCACCAAGTATTTTTCAATGTGATGAAGTCCTAATTGTTTGTTGACGTGAGGTAAAAGTGAATCAAATGAGATTCATGTATATTTGTCTAGTGTATGAACAATTTCTTTGACTTTACCTACATTTAAATGTATTTTTACAAATATTCATCAATATTTATGTGGTTATGGCAACCATGCAGTGCTTAGTTTCCTTATCTAGTATTCTCGTTGTCGACGGGGTAGTGTACATAAGTGTACATAAAGTGGGATTACTAGTTTAATAATACATTTTCCCCCAAAATTCTCGTTAAAATTTTCATAAAGATATTGATTCCTCCAATTGTTTATTTCATACCTTTGCCGATATCCCCTTATTAAGTGAACCCTTAGCTTCCCCAAGATAAATCAGTTCACATTGAGTACATTTAATTCCAAAGATAAGGTTTGAAGCTTTATATTATATATATAATCTCATCTTGGCTGAATAAAATTCAAAACAATAAATACAAATGTTAAAAAAAACGTTTCTTAATAAATGATCGATTTGTATTATTAATAAGAACAAAGTACATTGTAAATGTGTCAGTTTTTAGTCTGCAGAAGACGCAGTCTATTTATAGGTGTATTTTCAAACACTCTTCGACAAGTTTTCATGTACAGGTAATTTTCTAATGGTTAACCTTATGTAAGCATTAAATTCAATGCATCTCTATATTATTAAACAGACGTTTGAATACAAACCAATATGGCATTCAGACATTGCATTTATAAAGGGAATATACTCCTAAGGTAAGACACGATATCTAAAGGTTCTTTAGAATTGGAAAAATACTTAATTTTTAGCAGAAATATCACACAGACAAATGTGATTTAAATGTTCTTTTAAAAATGTGATTTTCATCAGGATGTTGTCTTTTGGGGTTAAAGCAAGCAAGTTGCTTGCTTTAACCCCAAAAGACAACATCCTGATATATGAACAATTTAGCTTTCTTGTACTGTGCATACATCAAAATACTGACTTGAATCACAAGAAGAAAGACAGTAATAAATCAGTTTGCAATCAGATAATTTTATGAATACAAAAAAGCAATGTCAAGGTCAGAAAGCATGGAGAACAACTTTGATGACATCAAGATGTCCACGCTTCCGATGATACTGGTGTTGCAGAAATAGTTTACTATAGTTGGAGATTTTCGAAATCGCAAAAACTGGTTTTCCCTTGTACTAGTCAATATTTCATTTAAATATGCACTTTCTCTGAAAGCTCCAAAAATTGATTTGAGCTCCTTCAACTCTTTTTCTAAAAATTCCAATGTTTTATGTTATCACATTTCATATAGTAGATAGTAATTTTTAACTGTTTTTAAATTTAGATTTTAAAATTATTTCAATTCTTTAAAATGGTCAGGCCCAAAAAATGCTTTATCAGAGAATTTCGACTTAACAAAGTGAATCTTCTTATTGAGAACTGAACTCAATAAAAATTTACTTTCAGTAAGAAGCACAGCCATTTTTAAAATAAACCCAGAACAATAGTGTTGTAAATTGATTTAATTCTACAGCTAAAAGCTTTATCAGTACGGTTTTGTTGCTACCAATTGTGAATTAAAGAATATTTATGCATTTCAATTTATGTTATCGTACCATAATAGTTTAGTTCAATTAGGTACCCTTATTTTCAGTAAATACAAGGTCGATAGAAGGAATATTGCAGTCTATGGGCCTCCTGATTTTGTATATATTCTGTCGTGAGAGAAAAAAAATACAGCATTCCAGACTTCCTTGTGAATTTAAAATATCGATACAATTCAGTTGAATATTTGAAATGATAAAGAATATGCATGTTTGTGTGCATGAAATAAAAGACAGGAAGGAAAGCAAATATAACTTATTTTCTTCTTTTATTCAGAGGTAACAAAAAAAAAGTAAGAATGGCATCATCGTCAAGTTTGGAGAGAGAAAACAATTCCAATAAAAGCAATGATAGTCCGGTGCTCCTTCCCGAATTTCCAGAAACAGATGTTACATTGATTGTGGAAGATCAGAAAATTCACGTAAACAAAGCTGTTCTTTCTCAGCATTCACCTGTATTTAAAGCTATGTTTTCTGGAAATTTTAAGGAAAGCACCTTAAAAGAGATACATCTTCATGACAAAAAGTTCAAAGATGTTGTGGAATTTCTTAGATGTTCTATCCCAACATGGAGCATAGTATAACAAGTAAAGATATTCGTCGTTATAAAAATAATCAATCTTCCATTAAGAATTCTGAATAGAAGTTTTTGATAATCTTAATTTTGTTTTCTCCATACAATATAAAATTGTACTTCTACATTGATAAAAATACAAACACAATTTTACGGTAGAATTACTAAAGTCATCATATTATCAATATCATTCATTAGTAATCATGTATGAAATATGATTCCGATTATGAATCCTTTTGCAGAAAATAATGTACTGCAGATACTACCATTTGCACATGAATACCAGTCCCCTCTTGTTACTGAATGTGAAAAGTTCATGACAAACATGTGTAAACCAGGAACAAGTTTGACAGTTACCTCACTACTGGATTACATCCTCGCAGCCGAAAAATATGAGCTAAAGATATTACTAGAGACTGCAGTGGAATATTGCAACCTATACGATATACGACGAATTTCCACATTTTTGATAAGAGCATTTGTTATCCGATAGTCACGTTAAGTTACTCGTGTGGTGTTGGGTCGTTCCGTAAAATTTGCAATTTTTACCTCATTCTGTACGTTCTACGGAATTTTATAAATTTAATATAAAATGCCTAAACATTAAGGGGTTTAAAATGACGCCAAAAGGGATGTCTTTTTCTCACATTCTGTAAAGAATCACCCTGGAAAAAACTTATTTAGACCCAGGATATGTTTTCAGCAGGCTATACAGAAATAAAATGCATCCAGATAACCAGTTTTTTTATAAATGTCAAAAAGGATTCACAGGGAGGACAAGCATACATTTAATGGTGAATTTGAGGCTGGGTGTCCAAAAGTCAGTCACGTCGAAATTTGACGTTGCTTGCTTGCAATAAGAATTGAACTCCGACAAGGGAATTAATCTGACATAGTCAAGTGTGGATCTTTACTTTTTGTATTGATCAATTTACAACATTATGCATTGAAATCAGCTGTTCGTGATATTGTAAAGTCACATAAAGAACACAGGGTTCAGTAATCATTCAAGGGGATCTCATGTAGAAAAGTGGTATTGATGCAGAAGAAACGAACATTGAGATACAATGACGTTTTCGAACGTTATAATTTAGCCCCAACGTTGATATCGCCGGTAAACCATATAATGTCTTTCGTATTTGAGGATAATTTGAAAAATTATCAATGTACCAAGCTGAAATTTTCAAAATTTCTTAAATTTTTGTTATTGTATGATCCTAATAAATTTTCAACCCAACCTACATAGCAATTATTTTATCGCACTAGTCCACAAACTTTTTTGATGACCCCTCGTACCTTTAGATTTTCAATTAGGCAGAATGCATACTAGGTTCTTTATTGCAAGTATTAATCTGAACAGAAGGTTTTTCCAGAAGTTGAGTGAACTGACATCAGCACTTTTCCAAGGAGTATGAGAAAGAGCAGACAAAGAGACTTTTATTTGCAAAACTTTACTTAATCTTAGTTACAGCGTATGAAATGGAAGATTCACGTGCACAAAATGTGGGCTACCTCGACGATATTGGTTTTCCAGAAACAGATGTAAATCAAGTTGTAGAAGATAGGAAAATTCACCTAAACAAATCTGTACTTTCCCAGCATTCGCCAGTATTTAACGCCATGTTTTCTGGTAGCTTTAGAGAAAGCACTTCAAGGGAAATAACTCTGGACAACAAAAAGGCTAAAGATTTTGTGGAGTTTCCTAGATGCTTTTAGGGAATTCGGGTTGCAATCCACCCATTGTTCAACATTACATTACACAGAGGTCCGTGTCATCAAGCCAACACTGATCTCGATCCTAAGAAACAAAGCACATCAAATTTGTTTATTTTCATTTATACTGGCAGTGAAATGTCGTGTGAAAAAACACCACTGGATTTATCTCATATAGTTAGACCAGACAAAGATTGACTTACATGTACTTTCAATTATTTTAAGGTGTATATTTTAAAACGTTGTTCTTGGTTATTTCAAATACTTTTTAGATTTTCAATAAAAAAAATTGAGTCGCTCGACGTCATCATACAAGCATGGAAAAATTTCTAAACTCCCAATAATCTTTAACAGTGCATAGCAATGCATTAGCTTAAATATAGCAACAACTTACAAATGTATTTGAAAAAAAAACATACAAAAAATATTCTTTTGGCGATACTGCCCTTGCTCCAAACAGCTGTCTTAGGAAGTCAAAATCAGCTGTATCAGGGCAGAAACATTACTAGGTATGCTAGTGTATGATATAAATCAAAATCAGTGCATGCTCTGATTTGTCAATTGTTCTTATTAATATCCATGAGATTAAGCGAATTCTTTCTAATTCAGACAGACTTTAAGGAGAATAGGGGCTTATGGTTTGTGAAAGATGATCTAAATAAATATTAAACAGAAAATAAAAGTTAACGGTTACATCCGTTTCTAAATGTATTCAATTCATATATTATTTTTGGAAGTAGATGGCACTAGTACAGAGTATCCCAGGGAAAATTCTCAAAAAGTGATCATTTGCTACACTACCGTGCCACGTAGCCAGAAGCTAAAATTAGACAACTGTTCATTGGGGAAAAAAGCTCTATTTAAATGAAGTAAGTATTTGATAATGGCATGTTGATTATTTTTTTTTCTTTTCAGAACACAATGTACTGCAGATACTACCTTTGGCACACGAGTACCAGTCTCCTCTTGTTGCTGACTGTGAGAAATTAATGATAAGCATGTGTAAACCAGGAACAAGTCTGACAGTGACGTCACTACTGGATTACATTCTACAAGCTAAAATATGACCTGCAGAAATTTCTAGATATTCGGCGGTGAAATTTTGTGCCCACATTGATTCTAATCTTCTCAAAGGGAAGGCATTTAAAAGAAAGAATAGTATTTTCTTTGCTTGCATACCCGGTTATATCTCAAGTGAACATAGTGGCCCCGACAGCTTCACAAACTTGTTTTATGATTCACAGGAGACAATGGAAATTTCTTCAAAATTTTTTGAATTAGATCTTAAAACTCGGTATGCAATAGCAGAAAAAAGACTCCAAGTTCTTGAGATGAATAATAAAAAGAAACTCGATAATATAAAAACTGATATAGATCACGATATAAAATTATTATAACATGCATACCAAAATTTATCATATCAGTGCTTACATATACATGAATGTGTAATGATTGAGTACAACCTTACACATTTTTAAGATGAATTTCCCTGATGTCATCATATATTCGCGATTCTACGGAAGCCGGAAGGAGCCAGTTAAAAAAAAATATCTGGCGGCCGCCTTATAATTTTCTGGCGGCCTCCAGTTATTTATGTGGCGGCCGCCAGTTATATTTAGCTGGCGGCCGCTACATAATTATTTGGCTACCTCCAGATATTTATACCCCCGCTCCGAAGGATACTGTTTTACCCTTGTGTGTCTGTCTGTCTGTCCGTCTAGCTATCTGTCTGTCTGTCTAGCTGTGTGTCTGTCCGTAACAAATTATGGTCGCAGTTTTCTAAGCAACTACTCATTGAAGATGCTTGAATTGTAGCACACTCTTTGTTTAGGCATGCCATATGGTGGGATTCATTTTTGTACAAATCCATGTCAACTTCCTGTTGATCCGTGCGTCTGTCCGTAGCATACATAACAAATTTTGGTCGCAGTTTTCTCAGCAACTACTCATCGCAGATACTTGAAATATTAGCACACACTTCGTTGAGGCATGCCATATGTTGGGATTCATTTTTGTACGAATCCGATTTCAACTTCCGGTTTATCCGTGCATCTGTCCGTAGCAAACATAACAAATTTGGGTGGCAGTTTTCTCAGCAACTACTCATCGCAGATGCTTGAAATTTTAACATATTCTTTGTTTAGGCATGCCATATGTTGGGATTCATTTTTGTACAAATCCGACGTCAACTTCCTGATTATCACTGTGTCTGTTCATAACTGAACTTGTGTATTCACATCAGAGCGGGGGTGTTATTGGCTCACAGACTTCTTGTTATTTTACCTGGCAATATCCAGCTTCCTTACGTTTAAGTTGTAAGAAATTGAAAAAAAATGAAAGAAAATGCTATTAATGAGTTTGTTTATTATTTTTATTTCACGGGGATTCACTACAATGACTGTAGTCACAATATGAATTTACTGTAAAATGATAATAGCTAGTCTGTAAACATATGTGAATTGAAACGATAGAATAAGAATAAACGCCAAATGCAAGATCATTAATGAATTGATTTACTCCACCATGTACACATACATCTCACATGTATACTTTTATCAATAAATTTGCAAATAAACTCCGAAACACCTGCACCAGAGGCACACTAGGTATGGCGTAAACTACATACATACTTAGATTTCACTCGCAATGTAAATATCGTAAATTTAATTAAAAGTCTACTTACATTTTCGATAAACAATCCTGAAAGAGCAAAAAAAGAGAGTAAGGTGGTGGTTACAGCTGTCGAATCTAAGTTACTTTTTGGCAATATTTAATGAAACAGACAACAAGAAATCGGTTATTATTTCATAAAACTTTATTAATGAATCATTCAACCAAAACCCGATTTAAATGATAAAAAAAAAAGTTGTGATAACTGATTAATTAAGAAAAACAACATGTACAAATCGCTTTCGTCATTCACCCGATCTTAATCTTGACAGAAATTTCTGGAACATCATATGGCATTAAATAACTCTTCATCAAAACTGAACACAATAGAAATTTGAGTATTTCCCATAAAGAAGCAAACAAACCTATTCAAAAAATCACAAGAACGATTATGTTGCAAAATGTTTCAATTCTACAGCTTACGTTTTCGTCGCTATACAACTTGATATTCATGCAATTCTGTTAATGTTTGTGCTTATGTACGTGACGTCAGTATCAATCTGAAGGAATTCCATTTTTCATTAAGAACAGAGTCATTCAAGGAACATTGCAGTGTATGGGTCTCCTGTTATATGGTATATTAAATGATCTGCTCTCTTGAAAAAGAAAAATACAGAAAACCCTCCCTCTAAAAGTCTTTCTTGTGAAATTGAAATTTACAGAAGTCGGAGGGTGCCAGGAAGAAAAAGTATTTTATCTGGCGACCGCCAGAAAAGTTTCTGGCGACCGCCACATAAATAACTGGCGGCAGCCAAATAATTTTCTGGTGGCCGCCAGATAACTAATATATTTCCAAGGAAAAGCCAGATTCTTTTGAAAGGACAAGGTATGGTAACGGCCAAATCTGACCCCTTATTTGATGTAAAAATTAGAACACAGTTAAAACTGTGATAGTGTGTAGTTAAGAACTTTAAATGATGCTTGTTTTAAAACCAGCAATAATTTTGATTCAGAAATTATATAGAGGCCACAAGAGGGTGCAGAAGTGAGACATTTTCCAGAACATCCTCAATTCTGGTTGGATTTCGTCAAATTTGAGATACTTTTTCACTTTGGAAAATATAGAGCACAAGCTTGCCTATCTGAGATTTTTATACAAAAGATGCATCT